TAGTAATACTATCTTAGGTAAAACTAATTAATTAATATTTTTTCTTAGATTAATATATCAAAATTGTAAAATATTCTTAGCTACTATAACTACCTAAAGTGAACACAATACACCTACTGTGTCAGCATATACTGTTCCTACTTCTGAAATTATTATTCCTATATCTGAGTCTAATACACAGATCCAAACTCACGAAAATTTGAAGCAATATTCTAATGTGCTGGAAAAAATGCTGAGAAAGAACTAGAGCCAAAAAATTTTAAGAATTTTGAGCCAGAAATAGAGAAAGAAAATAACAGAGCCTTCTATCACTGGGGCCAAAGCCGAGAGTGTAGCCAAATATATATATAAAATTCGTGATAATAGTATAAAACCAAGACAATTTCTCGATATAGATTCCGAAGATGGAATAGAAGCTATATTTACAGAGCGTCAGGAACATTCGCTACATGAAATCATTAATGGAAATGATTCACTTCGTCCTTTTATTGATTTTGATTTATCTCAAGAAACACTAAATAAAATCGAACCAAAACTTACACGTAAAGAAGCTTATTATGTTTTAATCGGGGCTTTCAGAGAGCTATGTATTGAGATTTATCCAGATTGGGATATTAAAACCTTAACTGTTGCCAATAGTAGCGATCAGAAAAAAATGTCATACCATATATCAACTTTCGGACTTCGGCTCAAAAATATCGCTAAAGTCGTAGTGTTTACTGAGCTTGTTCATAAAAAACTTCTAATAGGTTTACAAGCCAATGGAATTGTTGATAATATTGCAAATAAAAGTTCATTCTCCTTACGAATATTTGGAACACCAAAGATTATCAAAGAAACCAATAAGCATATTCGTCCAAAGAGAGCAGTTATACCTAAAAATGGTACTATTTTCGACTTTATGCTTCGTATTCCCCATGATGATGCAAAAATAAAAGATAGTCCTATCTTGGAAACACTAAAAAAAAAACATCAATCGAAGATAGGTCAACGTCAGAAAAAAATAAAAATGATACTGGGACTATTGAATCTGAAATAGGATACATAAAAAAATTGCTTGAAGAGTATAAAATTGAAGGGTTTGAAGTTTTATATTTATCGCCTACACTTTTAATATATTCCCTCTAAATCGCAAAGTAGAATCTTAATGCCCACTCTGTAATCGGGAACACATTAGTGATAACGCGTATATAATCTGAAATAAGAAAATTTATCGATATTATTGTTATCGAGCAGATCAAGAGACGCTATCAGGTACAAGGAAACTATCATTAAAACTTGTTTTCAACGAAACAATTGAAAATAAAGAAAAAAAATGACACTTTCCAGAAAAATTAGAATGGTTTAGAATTTCAGATTCAAACGATTACTTTTTATGGAAAGACTTAATTGATATATGTATTTCTAAGAATATTTTTAACTATAATGAAGTATATGAGGCAATTCAAGCAATAGTTGCATATATTTAAACATCTTCGAGATTATGGCTACTTAAAATAGCAGACTCGGATAATGGTCTTTTTTTTGATATGGCACCTAAACTAGATATTGCTAAATACAAAATAAAAATAACTGAATATCAAGGAGAACCAATCAAATTAAAAATATTAATAAATCAAGCAGTTGTTGAAGGTCTGATTCTTTATCGTAATATCGATTTTTTGCTATATTCACCAAATACCTCACCACCAAATATCAAGTTTTTTAATTCTTTTCTAAGATTCAAAGCTCAGCTGACAAGAGAGATTAATCCAACCATTATGGATCCAATTTTATGGCATGTAAAAAATATAATCTCTGGTAGTGATGAAGAACTTAGTAAATATTTCTGGTATTGGGTAGGATATCTAGTATGATAACCATCTAAGAAGCCTGGAACCATTCCAGTATTACGTTCCTTACTGGGCTGTGGAAAAAATATCTTAATCGATTTCATAGATAAACAAATTTTAGATTCTGAACTTTTCTATGCAACTTCTGATCTTGAAAAAATATTGGAAAGGTTTAATAGTTGTATTCAGGCTCGCAAATTAATCGTTATGAATGAAACGGGAATGAGTAGTGGAGACTCGCACAAATATAATGATCATCTCAAATCGCTTATTACAGAAGATTACTTAACAATTGAGCACAAAGGACTTGAACCCAAAGTTCTAAAAAATTATGCTAGATTTATGGTATTAAGTAATCATGATGCTCACTCTGAGTAGAAATGGGGTATCGGCGTATCATGTGTTTTGATGTATCTTCTTGTTGTAAAGACAATACAGCATATTTTAAAAATTTAGCCAAAGTGTTAGAATACCCCAACACGTCTAGTATAGTTATGGCTTATCTACTCAGTCTTGATATCTCAGATTGGAATCCACAAGATATTCTTGTTACTAAAATGAAAACAGATACAATGATGAAACATCTAGTAAATCCAATTCGATTCATAATTGATCATATTTCATCTTGGCCTGAAAATAGGACTGAGAAACCAATATGTTCGAATTTATACCAGGATTATCGTATTTGGTGTGAAAGAAATGGTGAAAATTCATTCACTAGTAAAAAATTTAGAAAAACTTCTCCAACGATTGGTATAGAATGCAAGCAAGTACGAGTTAATAGAAAAAGAGAATGAGTTTACATCCTTGACCGATCCAAGATCGTAGCTAAATTATGTGAGTTAATAGATAATATCGAAGAATTTTCAGATGCACCTCATGCCAGAATATTTACCAGCACATCTACAGAGATCCCTGTATTTGATGTACCTGAAATTGTTACATCTTCCAAACCAGAAAAAATAGATTCTATTCCATTAACCACCAATCATATCGAAAAAGGTAAGAATATATTGTTCACCTTACCTGTTACTAATATAACCCAGGATCTCTTCGATTCTATAATAGATCAACCAGAAAATTCAATTGCATCGTCGTCTAAATCTACAGATATATCTCTGCCTCCCAAGATCGTGGATGTAGAAGTTGTAAATGATAAATCCAAATCTTCAGAAATTATCGAGGAATCAGAGATTCGAGGCACCTCATTAGTAAATAATGAGCTAGAGATATCTTCCGATTTACCGGCAAATGATGAGGAAGCAAAGCTTCAAATTTCCAATTCACCCAAACCTAGCAATGAAGAAGCCAGTACCTAATTGAAAACATATCCACCTGGATATATCCCCCGAGAAGAATAGGAAAAACATCTTAGGCAGTGGGCTATAGATCATAATAAGGATCCTGATAAGTTTGTGACCATTACAGATAAAGACAAAACTGATTCAATAGATTATCTTACAAGGATAGATGTTGATGCAAATACCTGTCTCTTTAATATAGAACAAAGTAATGATCCCCACGATTTTATGGAAATGACACATCGGGAAAGATTGATAGAAGAAGAAATTTTACACCGTAGACTTGAAGATGCAGGCGAATGCATATGGCTTGATACTGATGAAGAATAGATAAAAAATAAAACTATACTCCAGGAAAATGGATTGCTATGATAAGTCTGTGAAGCAGGACACTCTGTGTCTATTATAACTCAGTTTGATCATTATGATAAGGTGAGAATAAAAAGGTTTTATAGATAGAAACATCTAATGGAGGGAGCTTTTTTGCCTCTTCAAACTAGACAATATAAAAATTTTCAATAAAAATATTACAAAAACAATATGTTCTCATGCTTTATATATACTGGAAACAAAATGAGCAATTAAGAATTAGAAACTCCAGAAAAAGTACTTAACCTATTAACTGACCAGATGATAAATCTGAATGGACTAATATTTTGTAAATTAATCTGCAATGGATATAGACATGTTAGTGATTTATCAAATTACTCAGAAATATCTGAACATATCAATTATGGTTGTTCCGATCACACAGCCTTCTTATTTAATATATGGAAGCCGGCAGTAATACCACCACCCAAAATATTACAAAACAGACTAGACATATATCACAAATATCTTATAACTATTGAATCGTGCCAGAATTTATTTGGATGAGCATAGAAAAAAGTGTAATTAATTTTGATTTAAAAAAAAATCCCCATAGTATATATCAGAGAAAATAGTCTACATAAACCATTTCAATTAACATATATGTCAAAGACACTAGCTTTGCTATACTAACCATGGCAAAAATCGCTATATCATTTGTAAAACACTACAAATTAACTCTACAAACTAGTTTACCACAGCTTAGTAGTTATGTCGAAGAGTTGGCTATATATGCGATCAGCAGATGTGAAAAATCTTCGTATCAACCAATACAAACCAAGTCGTGAGTCATAGTATAATCCTGACTATTCTTGGTACTGTATTGGTTATGCAAAAAATAAAGGTGAGGTAGAAGAACCCTGACCATTCCTTTCAATGGAAAAAAATCTAATACGAGCAAGAGAATTACTTATCTGGATTCAAAAATCAATACCAGATAAATTTTTTTTCTTGTTAAAAGATAAGAATGGGAATACTAATATTGCACCTCTTAATCAATTCTTAAGTCGCCATAGAATTACCATATATATGTTAAGAAAAATAGGTGCCGATCATACTTTCAGAGTACATGGAGATAGGAATGATTCCTGCCGTCAATATTTACAACAATTGGCATGTAGATATAAGATAGGCCATGCTTTATTAGTCGAACATTATGGTGTGATGAATGACAGACCAATTGCTCCAACGACTAGAGAAAAAAAATACTAAGATATCAGATATTATAGATCTATACAATTACTAATTACGCTTCTTTGCTTCGAAAACTTGTATATGTATTTCATTCTCGTCGATACTAGAATATCTGGAAATGCACATCGTGGATTACAAATAATTTTATTTAGTAGTAGAGAATGGGTAATTATTTACCAAGTTAATTTTTTGGTTATAATATATATCATTAAATAATATCGCAAGAAGCGCGTTATTCCGGCTATAGAATAGAGCAAGTAATCAGGTATTTGATAGCCTCTAGCTAATTTCAAACAAAGAATTTTTATTTGCTGTGATGTATATATATCTGTGATAATTTTCCTTGTTTTACTTTTGATTCTAGACATAGGCACTGATTGTCACTAGCTGATTTTTTAACAAAAATCTCATGCAATTGTTGAAGAGAGACATTCAAAAATAATGGTAGTCCCTCACCAGTAAACCAAATTTTCTTTACCCTACTATCGATGAATTTCTGTATTAACACACTTGGAACATCTTCTAAGGGACCATGAAATTCTTCAAACTTTTGGAGATACACTTGCATTTTTATCAGCTTCTTCTGCCATTTCTTAATTAGTATAACCGACAATACCAAGTTCTTCCTAAATTGTCACTATATCGTCTTCTAAGCATAAAAGCAAATCAAATAATCTAATTGGTTTATCTGAAGAGGCTTTATTCC